TGCTGCGCATGCGCAGAGGGTTCGCGCGCGACCGTTTCCTCTCCTGCGCATGCGCAGCAACGTTCTGCAGCGGCGTTAGAAGGCGGCGCGTCGATCGAGCTCGGCCGCGATCGACGTGATCGACGTGATCGCGCGATGGAAGTTAGCTGAAAAGGACGCACCCCGGGCGAGCCCTGCTCGCCGGCCGAGCCTCTGCCTTCCCGGGCGCGGGGCGAGGTGGGGTAGGGGACGGGGGCGGGGAGGGACACCTTGGCGGCAGACAGCGTGTCGCCTGCCGACGGCATCTCGTATTCCGCCCCCCTTTCTCCCCCCCTCCGCCCATCGCCCCGGTCTCACGACTCGAGAGATGGGAGAGTTCCGCGTTGAAGGTGACTGAGGACCGTGTTTGACGGGCCAAGGCGTGAAACTGCCCCGGCTCGGCCGCGCCATGCTTCAACAAGAAATATGCCCCACGGGTTTGTGGATGCATTTTACGGACGAGGGGACAGGGCACGGTCCAGGCCGCCTGAAGTCTTGGGGGGGGGGGAGGGGGGTGCCACCGCCCGGTCGTCTTTGTTTCAGGACTGGAATGGGCCCCGGTCCTGGACAAGGCGTTGCTGACGGGGTGACCTTCCCGTTCACCCGGGTCCCCTGCCGCGGCCACACCACCCCGAGCGGCGAGCATCCAAGTGGTCGCCGCGGGTCTGGCTGGACTTGCCGAATGAGGCGGTTTCCCCCTCCCTCCTCTACGGTGCGCAGTTTTGGGGGAAAATAATAAAAAGGAGCCCATCAAGGAATGTGCTGAGTTGACCCTCCCACAGGTCGGGAATCTGCCAACCTCGTGGGTTTCCTGGAGTGTTGCATTTCAAGAGAACGCCCGGCCCCTGCCCTGCCCAGTTCGCCCGTCAGCTCGCCCGCCCCCTTTCTGAAACCTCACGGCTCCGTCCACACCAATCCGACCCTACCGTGTAGGGCGTGGCGCGGCGTGGCGCGGAGCACCGAGAAGGTGCTTGAAATGAGCTACTTTCAGCACCACAATGACGCTGGCCTCCGCTGCCGCACGCATCCCGTCGCTCACGAGCTCTAGCCTCTCTTTGTGCTGGGCTGGGCTCGGAGCTGCTCTTTGGAAAAGGCCAGCGTTCCCCGAAGTCTGCGGACCAGCCACCTGCCAGCCACATCGGCCAGCTCCACGCACGGCACGCGGGCAGCAGCAGCAGCAGCAGCAGCAGCAGCAGCAGCGGGGGCAACCGGGGCAACATGCAGCTCCGCGGCGAGTGGGAGGGGATTTTCCCGTGAAAGGTCGGTTGAATGGAAAACGTCGCTGATCGGCGCGTGTCCCATACTGCGCCGTCATCCCGAGCCTATCCTGGACTCTAGCGGGGGAGTGGCGCGCAGCCCCGGCGCAGCCCCGGCGCAGCCCCCAATGAGTCTTGACGGCGCTGGTGCTGCCCGCCCCGTCAAGGGCGACTGGTGGCGGAGGCGGGGCGGGGAGGGGCGGGGCCGCGCCACCAGCGAGA